GATGTTTTCTTGTAAAGTGAAGTGTCTCCAGACACTGAAGTTGGGGAGCTAGGTTTGCTGATCCATCCACAGAGCTAGAGCTGAGTGCCTCAGGCTGAGGCTTATGGTGGAGTGGTATGTCCTGTGGGCATTTATCAGCAACTGATTGGAGCAACTATGCTCTGAGAAAATTTTGACCCTGTACTGTAATCTGTTAACTTTCCTAATAAACCCCATAACTGTAAGCATAATGTCTGAGTTCTATTTGGCCATTGCAATAAATTATTGAACCCAGCTGAATAGAGAGGGTTGTGGGAGGGATGGTTGGTGCATCAATATTTTTGCATATGCAAATCAGAATTCATTGGACAGAGATAAAAAAATAAATTGAGGCAATTGCCTAGGCTTAGTGAATCTCAGAGGACAGGCCTTTTAAAAGAAGTATGTATCTTGGTGGAGTTTTATGCTAGAGAGGGCTTGATGTTTATTCCCAACCTATAGCTCTCTTCACTTCCTCCAGCTCTTCCTTCTGTGCTTTGTACGAGTAATGTGTGTTGTTGTTAAGTACCATTGAAATGGTTCCAACTCACAGTGACCTTATGCACAGCCAAACAAAACTCTGCCTGGTCCTATACCAGCTTCACAATTGTTGTTTGAGCCATTGTTGTTGTCACTTTTCCTCTGACCCTCCGCTTTAACCAAGTATGATATCCTTCTCCAAGGACTGATCCTGTCTTAAAACATGTCCAGAGCATGAGATATGAAGTCTCACTATCCTCTCTTCTAAGGAGCATTTTTGCTGTTTTTCTTTCAAGACAGTTTTATTCTTCTGGCAATCCAAAGTACTTTTAATATTCTTCCGCAACACCATAATTTAAATATAATAATTCTCCTTTGGACTTCCTTAGTCATTGTCCAACTTTCACATGCATATGAGGTGATTGGGTCAGGTACACCATACTTCTCCAAGTGGTATCTTTGTCCTTGAACACTGTAAAGAAGTCTTGGGCAGTAAGTTTGTCTAATGCAACATGTTGTTTGATTTATTGATTGCTGCTTCTATGAGCATTGATTATGGATCTAAGTAAAATGGAGTCTTTGACAAATTCAGTCTTTTCTCTCTTTATCATGATGTTACTTGTTGGAATAGTTGTGAGGTTTTTTGTTTTTTTTTTTACATTAAAGTGTACTCTTTGATTTTCATTAGTATTTCAAATTTTCTTTGCTTCCAGCAAGTAAGGTTATATCATCTGCATATCCCAGATTGTCTTTCTTCAATACTGATGCCATATTCTTCTTTGTACAATCCAGTTTCTGAGATTATTTGTTCAGTATAAAGAATGAATAAGTATGGTGAAAGGACACAACCCTGATGTTAAACTATTCACTATACCCTCATTCTGTTTGAATGATTGCCTCTTGGTCTATGCACAGGTTCTTTGAGAGCACAGTTAAGTGTCCTGGAATACCATTCTTTGCAACTTTATCCATTGTTTGATCCACACAGTCAAATGCCTTTGCATACTCAATAAAGCACAAATGAACATTTTCCTGGTATTCTCTGCTTTCAGTAAAGCTCCATCAAATGTCAGCAATGCTATCTATCCCACGTTCCATGTCCTCTTCTGAATCCAGCTTGAATTTCTGGAAGCTCCCTGTTTATGTAGTACTGCAAACATTTTTGAATTATCTTCAGCAAAAATTTACTTGCATGTGATATTAATGATATTGTTAGATGGTTTCCACATTCCATTGGGTCACCATTTTTTGGAATGGGCACAAATATGGATCTCTTCCAATTGTTTGGCCAGGTAGCTGTTTTCTGAATTTCTTGGCATAAAAGAGTGTGTGCTTCCAGAATATCAGTTTGTTGAAACATTTTAATTTGTATTCTGTCAATTCCCAGATCCTTGTTTTTTGCCAATGCCATCAGTTCTTGATCATATAATACCTGTTGAAATGGTTGAACATTGACCAATTCTTTTTGATACAGTGACTCTGTGTATTCCTTCCATCTACTTTTGATGATTCCTGCATATAGTTCAATATTTTTCTCATAGAATCCCTTCAATATTGCAACCTGAGGCTTGAAGTTTTTCTTTAGTTCTTCAGCTTGAAAAATGCTGAGTGTTTTTCCCTTTTGGTTTTTCAATTCCAGGTTTTTTAACATTTCATTATAATACTTGACTTTGTCTTCTTGAGCTGCTGTTTGAAATTTTCTGTTCAGCTCTTTTACTATATTATTTCTTCCAGTTACCTTAGCTTTTCTATGTTCAAGAGCAAGTTTCAGAATCTCTTCTTACATCAATTTTTGTCTGTTCTTTCTTTCCTGTCTTTTAAAATGACCTTTTGCTTTCTTAATGTAAGATGTCATCCCACAGTTCTTCTGGTCTTCATTCATTAATATCTAATGCACCAAATATGTTCTTGAAATGGTCTCTAAATTCATGTGGCATATAATCAAATTCATGCTTTGGCTCTTGTGGACTTGTTTTAATTTTCTTCAACTTCAGCCTGAAATTGCATATGAGCAATTGAAGGTCATCTTCATAGGCTATCTGTATTCTTATTTGGGCTGATGAAACTTCTCCATCATCTTTCCCCTCAAATTTAGTCCATTTGATTCCTGTGTATTCCATCAGGTGAAGCCCATGTGTATAGTCATCATTTATGTTGTTGAGAAAGGCATTTGAAATAGTAAGTGATTGCTCTTGCAATTTTATCATGTGCTCTTCAGTGTTTCCAACTTTTCATTTCAATCATCAGTAATTAATTATCAATGCACTTGGTTGCACATTTGATCAATTTCGGACTGAAGTTGGTAGAATTCTTCAATTTCATCATTGATGTTAGTTGTTGGTGCATAAATCTTAATATTAGTGGTATTAGCTGGTCTTCCTTATAGGTATATAAATACTATCCTATCACACGCAGCACTGTACTTCATGATAAATCTTGCAATGATTTTTTTGATGATGAATGTAATGCCATTCGTCTTCAATTTGTTGTTCCTGGCATAATAAACCATGGTTGTATGATTCAAAATAGCCTATACCTGTCCATTTCAACTCATTAGTACCTAGGATATTTATCTTTATTCGTTCCACTTAATTTTTTGCTACTTCCAATTTTCCTAGATTCATACTTCATAAGTTCTGTGTGCTATTGTTAATGGATGTTTACAGCTGTTTCTTAATTTGAGCTGTGCCCCGTAAGCAAATGAAGATCCCTAAAGCTTTGCTCCATCCATTTTATTAAGGTCAACTCTCTTTTGAGGAGGTAGTTCTTCCCGTCATATTTAGAGTGTCTTCTAATCTGATGGGCTCATCTTTAGATACTATATTTGATAATATTACACTGCTATTCATAAGGCTTTCAGTGGCTGTTAATAAGTGTTCTACCTCTCCTTTTTCCTTGTTTGTCTTAGTCTTGAAGCTCTGCTGAGATTCATGATTTTTATTGTGAAATTCACAATAAAAAGTTAAAAATTATAGTAGTGATTTCTAAAAAAAAGTAAATAAGCAGTGTTACTAAAATATTTCAAAGAAATGATTTTTAAGACTGTTTATGGCAGTATTTCACTAAATGACACACTACCTATACTAAAGGAGCTCTGGTAACACAGTGGTTACTAACCTTAAGGTCAGCAGTTCAAAACTACCAGCTGTTCCATGGGAGAAAGATGAGGCTTTCTGCCCCCATTAGTATTTACAGTCTCACAAACCCTATACAGGGTGTCTATGAGTTGCAACCAGTTCCACAGCAAATAACCACCACCAACCACCCACACTAAACCAAATATGATAGAAAATGATGTTGTCAAGTGCTGCCGAGTTGGTTCTGGCTCATAGTGACACTGCATAGGGTTTCCGAGAAGCAACTGGTGAGCTTGAACCACCAACCTTGTGGTTCAAACCCACCTTGCAGTCTAGCACTTAACTCAGAGAGCCATACTAGGACTCCTGGTATCAGATGCTAGGGTTCAAATGATTTACTGCAAAATGAGCTACGTCCTGTATAATTCTTGATTTTTACCTTGAGCTCTTTACTATATTCCAGGTAACTAATGTATTCAAATTTCCTAGTACTTTCTATATTCTCTGAAAAATCACTTACTATGTAGTTAAGGTTGTTAGTGTGATTCTTGAGGAGCCTTAAAGACCACTTGTCCATCTTTAGAGTAGCATGAGAAGAACACATGAATCTTCTTTTTAGATAGTATTTTCCATGGAGAATAATTGGTTTATAATATTAATGCCCAGAGCAATCTATGCTCTTTACTATATGAGTATAAATTGCTTTTGATCAGTAATACAAATCAGATGTCTACTGTGTTCCTTTTATAAACTGAATTACAAATATTGTTGTTGTTTCCAAGTACTGTGGAATTTCTGACTCGTAGTGACCCTGTATAGAGTTTCCAAGAAGTAGCTGGTGTTTTCATGCTGGTGGGTTTGAACTGTTTACCTTGTGGTTAGCAATCCATTATTTCTCCTACAGTGCCACACCAGGATTCCAATACATCTCATTTGTTTAGATAATGACCAACTCATTATGTGAAAATTGGTGTTATGAGAAAATGGAGAATAACTATATTATTACACATTTGCCAAACTGCATCATTACATAATGGTTGAACCAATGAGAATGTTGGTCCTGCCAAGTTGACATATAACCTTAATTATCACAGTCAGCATTACTCTTGCCTCTCACCTTGGAATTCATTGCTGCCACATGTCGTTAATGTGCAAAATAGTAGATTTTTTTTAAACTGTTTTCATAAATGCAAGATTTCAGATAATGTGATAATTGGTAAGTGAGGAATAGGTGTATATATATGAAATGTATTCTATTTGGTATTAATTTCAACACATATTCTTAAAAGAGACTTTAAGAAGTCTTGTTGTGAATGGTGTTTGACATTATAATAGGTTTTTATAGTCTTAATAAAACTCAATGAATTTTGAAGACAAATATGTCCTTCATGTTTTATTAAGGTAAATTGCATTTGAGAGATGAAATTATATTTTACTAAGAGTTTGTTCAATCCCAAATATTTTCCTCAGAGCAGCCATTATTTCCTTGTTTCTAAGGCTGTATATTAGAGGATTGCACAGGGGTGTTATCACAGAATAAAACAAGGTAACAATTTTTTGTATTTTCACTGGGTGTCCTGACCCAGGGCTCACATACATCACCATAACAGAGCCAAAAAACAGGACCACCACCACCAGATGAGAAGCACAAGTGGAGAAAGCTTTGTGTTTACTTGCTGCTGAGGGCATCCGTAGAACAGCAAGGATCACCAGAGCATAGGAGCAAAGGACAAAGAGAAAAGTGCCAATCATGAAGATAACATTGAATGTAGAGTAAATTAACTGTGTAGTGGTGTCTTCAGAACAGGACAGCATCATCAGTGGAACAGGATCACAAATAAAATGGTTGATGATATTTGGGCCACAATAGGGCAATCGTGAAATGAGAACTACTGGGGTTATGAAGAGGATAAATCCAGATGACCAACCCAAGATGACCAGGTTAGTGTACAGCTCTTTAGTCATGATGCGTGGATAATGTAGAGGACGGCAGATGGCAAGATACCTGTCAGAGGCCATGATGCAAAGGTAGAAACCCTCATTACAGCCCAAAGAGAAGAAGAAGTAGAACTGTGCAAAACAACTAACAAACGAGATGGACTTGCTTGTGGAGAGGAAGTTGGCCAACATGTTAGGGACAGTTGTGGTGACATAACATATTTCTAGAAAAGAGAAATTTCCCAAGAATATGTACATAGGTATGTGAAGGCGCCGGTCCCACCACACAGCACAGACAATGGCTGAGTTCCCCATCAGAGTAAGCATATAGGTTACTGAGAAGAGTCCGAAGTAGACGAGCTGCATTTCTGGGCTTGAGGGAAAGCCTAGGAGGATAAAGTGGCTAACGGAGCTGATGGTGTCTCTGCTGGTCGCATTCATTAGTCTGGAAGACATGGAGAGGACACTGGCTATTGAACTTTACTAGAGAATGTTGCTTCTTCCTGGAATCACCAAAATGCTTTATCATTTGTTAAACTTTTGCTTAAGCAACAAGTATATTTTGCTTAAACTATAAAACTGATTTTCACTATCCATCCCCTGAATACATTGTCTCATTTTAACAGAAGACGATAATAGAAATGAAGGAAAACGTGAATTGAGAACAAATATTTATCTGGATAAAAACACTAAAGAAGCTCCTTGGAACTCCTGTACTGGGTTGCTATGGGTCAGAATTGACTCAACGGGACTTATTCACAACAACAGCAGTAGGGTAGTGGCTTACACATTGGGCCGCTAACTGCAAGATCAGCAGTTTGAATCCAGTTCTGTTCCACAAGAGAATGATAGATTTTTTGTTCCCCTATTTTGTTGTTGTTGTTAGGTGCCGTCGAGTCAGTTCCAACCCATAGCGACCCTGTATAGGGTTTCCGAGGAGTGACTGATGGCTTTGAACTGCCAACCTTGTGATTTAAACTGAACTCGTGGCCCAACGCATTATTCTGGAGCGCTACACCAGGACCCGGATATTTGTAGCCCTGGAAACCCTATACCAGTTTGCTATGAATCATAAATGACTGGACAGCACACAGCAGCAAGAATTCTGGACTTGATACGAGGATTCACACTTTTGTAATCTTGATGAATTATCTGTGCTCAATTAGTCGATTCTTTCATCTGTCTACATGCACTGCTGTAGTACAGGAGATTGTGCATATATTTCCATATATGTGATGCTCTTTCAACAATATTATGAATATTCAATTTGTTATGATTCATAATTGTACTATAAAATAAAAAAAATTAAATCAAGATATCTTAAGAGACTGTTTCAATGCAGTGCACTAATTACCATTAGTACAAATGAAAATAAACTTACTAAAAATGGTAATTTATTTTAGTTTTCAGTTCTTTCAACATACTTATGATGCTTTAAAGAGAGAAAGAAAAAGTCCTCTCTCATTCCAGAGCAGATGATCTTTTAGACTCTTTCATGTATCCATGATCAATATGTGCTGGATCATATCCTACCTAAACTATCTTTTCCTATAGACTGAATTTTATACATTGGGAAGAAAAGCCCTGTATTTTAGTATCTAAACTGCTCTGGTTAATCATTCTGATGCACTCCCAAGTGAATATGTAGATTTGACGTAGCCTAAAATTATTTTGACATTAGTGAGGTCTGTTTTGTGACTAAATTCAATGTACTTATACTTACGAGTTGGGCTGCTAACCTCAAGGTCAGCAGTTCGAAACTACCAACGGTTCCACTGGAGAAAGATGAGGCTTTCTGCTCCCTTAAATATTTACAGCCTCAGAAACCCTATTTAGGATCGCTATGGGTCAGAGTTGACTCGACGGCACTTAACAACAACAACAACAACAACATACTTGTTAGTTGAAATTCTGGTATGGTGCTGTAGGATAAGCACTGGACCACAAGGTCATTTGAATCCCAAAGTCGGTGGTTCAAACTCACCAGCCACTCTTCGGAAATGCTATACAGGGTTGCTGTGAGTCAGAACTGACTCAATGGCACTTAAAAACATTTGCTTCTTAGTCATGTCTAAGGTAGCTACAAGAAAGATGGAAAAGTAGATAGTTAATATAGCTCTGTGAGGATTTCCATATTTTTTATTCACTACCCTCTCCCATGTTGTTGTTGTTAAGTGCCGTCGAGTCGGTTCCGACCCATAGCGACCCTGTACAGGGTTTCCGAGGGTGTAAATCCTTACGGGAGTAGAAAGCCTCATCTTTCTCCCGCGGAGCAGCTGGTAGTTTCGAACTGCTGACCTTATGGTTCGCAGCCCAATTCGTAACCACTACGCTACCAGAGACCCTCTCCCATGCTTGTTCCTTTTCTCTTCCCTTCAACAGACATTTGGTATCTTTTTATATTTCACTGTGATGTTCCACCTATGTACTCCCTGTCTGTACAAATCTGAAACATGAACTTGCTCATTTTTCTCCTAACTGCTGTTTTCACCACCAATAATTTTTATTTAGGCAAAATGCTCTCTCACCTGTTCCATTAAGCAAGATAATTAATTTTAAATAGGTTTGTTAAGCTTCTTTAGTATGTCAATAGGGCTTTCAAGTATTGAAGAAATAGCTCCTGGCCTCATACTACTTATAAATTAACAGTAAACCTTAATGCATTTTGCAGAATTTTGATTTGTTTTCCACACCTGGCAATATTTTTGTGTTTTATGAGAAAGCCCTTGGCATGTTACTGTATAGCAATATAGTGTCAGGATTTCTTAAGCTATACCATATAAATGATTGACTGTTTTACCTGACTGAGGTTTATTAAGGTGTTACCTAAAATAGAAGGACTAATGTTTATAGATAAATGCAGCAAAAAGGCCAGGTAAATTCTTAAGTCTATGGATTGTCTAAAACTCAGTCTGTTAAAGTTTAAACATTTTTTTATTATGGTAAAATATAGTTAACACACATTTTCCATTTTACTAATTTTAAGGTGCATTTTAGTGGCATCAGTTATATTCACAATGCTGTGTAATCATCACCACTGTCTACTTTCCAAACTATTTTTTATCACCCACAAAGAGAAACTTTGAACTCCTGCTGAATATTTTGATTAAATAACAGTTTTATATCTCAGTGAATTTTCTTACTCTCCTGTAGATAGTCTTTTGTCCTATTTCTACCAGCTCCTACTCTCAGCCATCTCAATGAATTTATTTTACTTACAGATCATTGACAATGGTTTTGATTCAAGTTATCAATACTCACCATTCTTTGTTCTGATTACTTCCTGGAGATAGTAATTGTCCAATGTCACAGCCTAGAGTAAATCCTATGTGTGCAACAAAAACAACAAAAAACTGCACATGCTGAATATTTTTATTATTTAGAGTAGACTTAATCCACATAAAACCAGTTCACATAAATGAAACTGAAAACAACATACAGTCTTGAGAGAGAAGATATTTCTGGAAAGAGACATCTCCCATATCTCCTCTATTCACCATGCAGCTAAATGGTTAAAATAAATATTTCTCTATCAGTTAAGCTAGGAATTAGTATATATCCTCACTTGAAGTTGTAAACCTCTTTGTCTATGTATTTTATTCTCCTTGTAAAGGGATGAAAACCAAATTAAAATATCTTCTAGACTTATTGAAACAAGAAGAACAAAAATCATAGTACTACTTTTTGTTATTATTTGCCAGTGTTTCACTCTAATCAAATGAAAATAAAACAAGTTTTCTCAAAGAAAAGGAGAAAACATTTTCTATTAAATCCATTAACACATACACACAGCTGAGTATTTGTGGCTCACATGTTATAGTTTCCACTCACTCCTTGGATAAACGCTGAGAAGGAGGTCAGAAAGGGGAGTTGAAAATATTAGTCCCTGGGGCAAAAGGCATATGAAGGACTCTTGAGAAATTGGAGAATCCAGTTTGTAGACTTTCACAGGTTGCAAAAAGTGAATGCTAAAGGAGGTTTTCTTTCCAGCTTCAAGGCTCATGTTTGTCGTCAACATTAAACATCAGGTGAAGGGACTATATATACCTATTTCCTTACATCATAGCTTTTTTGGGAGTTGGGGCTATCTCTCCTGATAATTTGATAGTACTTGTATAGCAGAGGTTATGTTTGAATTTTCACTTCTAGTCAAACACCAAAGTTTTGTTGTTCCCCAAAGACTAGTGTAACTGTGGAAGTCAATTTTGTCTTTTCTTTCTTTTCTAGTATCCAGGCATTGTTGAAGTTTCCTGGGGAATAATTAAGCAGACAAAGGGATTGTCATAATGGCGACAATAGGGATCCATACCACAAGGCTCCCATTCCAATTTTGAAGGACAAAATCTTCTTTGCCTATAGCTAATATGTGTATGTGTACTATCTGTTTGGAATATTTGAATTGCATTTTATGTATATCAGAGAAAATTGACATTTCAAGGATTTTGGCATTCAGATATGCCATAAATATATTTTAATTTTAAAATGGATTATGTTATTGTTGCGAATATACACAGAAAAACATGCACTAATACAACAATTTCTACAGGTACCATTCAGTAACTTTGATTACATTCTTCAAGTTGTGCAACCATTCTCATCCTCCATCTCTGAGTTGTTCCTTCAACATTGACATGGATTCACTATCCACTAAAGGTTCGACTTAATCAATCTTATGAGTTGCCACTTGGATTCCATATAAATAGTTCTTAACAGAGTATGATGTTCAAGTATCCTTTTTTGTTGTTGTTGTTATTCAAGCTAAACTATTAAAGGAGCTCTCGTATAGTGGTTCTGAGTCAGGCTGCTAACAGCAAGGTCAGGAGTTCAAAACTACCAGCTGCTCCACAGGAGAAAGATGAGGCTTTCTGCTTCTATAAAGATTTACAGCCATGGAAACCCTATACAGAGTCAGTGTGAGTTGGAACTGACTCCACTGCATATCACCACCACCACCATTAATTGGAAAGTGAAGTTTTGAAGTACAGATATAGGGAAACTGGAAGTTGTGAAAATTGAAATTGGATGCATGGACACTAGTGAGCTAGTTCTGATGTGGCACTGTAGGATAAGCACTGAACCACAATGTTGGTTTGATTTGGTGGTTCAAACTTACCAGCCGCTTCTCAGAAATCCTATATGGGATTGAGTTGGAACCGACTCCACAGCACTTAACAACAACAACAACAGTGAACTAAAGGAAGTTCAGTGGCTGTGTAGGATAAGCACTGGGCTGTGAATCACAAGGTTGGTAGTTCAAGCCCACCAGCCACTCCTCAGAAGACAGAGGAGGCTGTCTGCTCCCCAAAGGATATACAACCTTTGAAACCCTATACAGGTGGTAACTATCTGGACAGGACTTAGCAACAAATTTACAGACTAATTACTAATGTTGCCAAAGATGAAGAAATTGAAGTTTTTTTTTTTGTTTTTTTTTGTTTTTT